TAGCAAAATGACGAGAAAATTTTGAACAAAGTAAAATAAGAAGAAGACGAAAAGATGAATAATAATAATAATAACAGTTTGTAATCAATTTTTTCCCTACGTGTATTTACTTAATTATACAAAATTCTACTACAGACATGAGAATATGAATATCAGTTATTTTCAGTTATAGATCAGCTTATTTATTATATTTATAGAAGGAATTTTTTGCACACTTATTATAAAAAATAAAAAACAAGAAACGTAGGAACGAACAAACATCTTGTAACGAGTATATTTTAATTATATCGCGATGGTTAGTTTGCATTTTGAATCAAACCTACTTTCGATGCGAGCGAGCTCACTTTCAATGAGATTTATCAGGCAAAGCACGTATAGGAAGAAGAACGCGGAGCAACCCTAAATTCAAGCGTTTTCACTAAAATCGCGTTCCTCGTGAAAATATTTTGCTTTTTAAGGAAAATAAAAAACAAACTGATGGACATTTCAAAATCATGAATATTCATCGAGGACAATTGCTTCTTATCTCAGATCTCATCAGATATTTTTCTAACTATTTGAAAACAGTTAATAGAGGTGCATCAATAATAAATGTGACAGGTAACACAATAAGACTAAACGAATGTACACTAACATACAAATATACAACATTCACACGCACACACCTGTACAAGGACCTAAGAGGAAGCCCGTTCGTATTGACGGCATATCAACAACTGATGATAGTTCTTTAGCTTGCTATACTCAACACCATCAACGTTAACGTCGTCGTCGTCGTCGTCGTCGTCGTGGTGGTCGTCGTCGTCGTCGTCGTCGTCGTCGTCATCATGACGGTTGTATCGTTTCTTTCCGAGTTCTCGCATCTGCGCCGAGAACGTCCTCGCTTACAGGGGAGGAATTGGACTTCCCACAAAAGTGGGAGGAGTAACCAGAGTTCGCAGAAACCCTGGCCATTTACTCATTTTTCAACGAAACTTTATTGAAGACACATCTATTTTTACTAACTATACTCTTTCTCTCTCTCTCTCTGTTTTTTTTTTACGTTAAATAAATTCTTTTTTTGTTTCTTGCAATGTTAACTTTTACATCTTTTCTTCGATATTAAACAACATTTTTTTTTTTTACATTAAATTTATTTTAATCAATTGGACAAAAGATGTCAAATTTATGAAAGAGAGAGAGAGAGAGAGAGAGAGAGAGAGAGAGAGAGAGAAAGAGAAAACACGAACGAGGTTATCTCTTTTATGTTAATATTAAACAAAATAGATATTATCTCAACTTTGAGATTACGAGACGTTAAATCTTATCAATGAAAATTGTCGATTTTTAGTTAGTTGATACATGTACGTAAAAAGAAGCAAAAAAAAAAAAAATAAAAAAAGGAAGAGCCGTTAATGTATAGATAGAATGTGTGTTAGTCATTAACGATTTTTGCGCACAAATTGTTTAAGGATAAAATGAGGATATGTGTATGTGTTAAATACAATACAGATACATGGGGGAGAAGAAGAGATTGACCATGATTCGATGAAATTTCTTCAATTACTATAAAAATTTATTATCGAAAGATAATTATTACTTTTGATTAGATTTTTTGTGTGTGAGAAATTTTTTTTATAATAATTAGAGAATGTCCTTGAAAGAAACGTGAGAGCTATGACAAAGCAAGCCATCGTCCTCCATGTATATCCGTATCTATATTACACATATAAGTATACGCATACTATATATATATATATATATATGTATACATACACAAATGTTATTAGTAGTATGGTAGTGGTATTATATATATATATATATATATATATATATAATGTATTTTTTTTTTTCTAATATCTTTTTCCTTCTTTTCTCTACCATATGTGGGTACATAAGACATATACTGTATGTAAAGATGTACGTACATAGCGGAACTCGAGATATTTGTTTTTCAAGGCTGCTTAAGATATCCATAGGTGGGGATCGATCAATGATTCTTATTGCGAAATGTTTGAATACTTTGTGTAATTACCTCGTGTAGATGGAACAAGAAATAATAAGAAAGAGAAAGGGAGAAAGAGATAGAGAAAGAGAAAGACAGAAATAATAAGAAGAAAGAGAGGTGGAATGACTGGTTAAACGTTGTTCGAAGTCTGAGCATGCACAAACGAGTCAATATCACTTGGAGGTGGTGGATTGTGTCTCCGCCTCTCATCAGGAAGCGCTTTCTTGCTGATGTTTTATGGAAAACGCGTACACGTCGAGGTAACTGACTCGAATTCACGAATTCGAGCGATACTAACAATAAAAGTATATTTGTCCGTAGTAGTAGTTCTCGTCGTCGTCGTCGTCGTCATCTAACGTACCGAATCCAAAAATTTTGCAACAGCCGATTCACTTTTATAAAATTTTCTCTTTACGTGACAAACCTGGAAACGAGTATTGTTGACTGGTTTATTTTTCGTTTATTATTTCTTTTTCTTTTTTTTTTGAAATACTTCCCATCTCTAACGTGCAGCCGCGACGTTACAGTTTATGAAATATCTGAAATGTACTTTTTCAATGGAAATAAATGAATGTTTTATTAGAAAATATTTGTACACATATCATTCAATAATAAATTACATAGATATAAAAACAAATCTTTATATACATATATGGTGTTATTAAATATAATAAGAATAATGGTAATAAAGGAGGAGGAGGGAGTAGAATGAGCGCGCCATTAAAATATCACATATCGTCCATTGTAACGTAAATTTAACATACCCGTGTAATCATTTTTGGGAAAATCTTCTATCACTCCCGGAAAAATTCCGTCACAAATGGTCGATCATCCGAATCGTAAGGAGTTAATGGTAGATCGTATGGAATAGGAAATGGTGGAAATTTCGAGTTATTACCTTCTAATGAGAACATTTTTTCTCCAGTCTATCAGAAAAAAATGTGTATCGTTTAAATCAAATCTAAGCAACATTTGATATTATTTTATCGTCATCTTTGATACTCACGACAAATTCAGGAAGAAATAATACACCAGCTTCGTAACTCATTATGGAATAGTTCGCCCCACATTTTCCCCATGCAGCTTTGCTTAAATTCGCACTGGTAAGCATAAACCAAGCCATTTTTTTCAAGTCAGGTGATAATCTTGCATAAGTTTTAATGTGAGGCATTGCTTTGGTTCTGTTCATCTTCGAAGCTTTCCATTGACTATAAAATATTATAACGTTTAAAGAAATCTATTTGGAAAGCAATAAAAAAAAAAAAAAAATATGGGAATTTAGATTTACTGTAAATAAGACTGGATCCATTCTTGTTTTGAATGCGTCAGCAAATTATAACATAAACAGCAAGAAAGTTGTCGACAGTCATAACTTTCTCTGTAATTTTTAATACTAGGAAAGATAAAATAAAAAGTCGAAGGACTCTTCAATGTTTTATCAGTTTCCTTTGACATAGACAGTACGATATCTTTCCCTAACCAACTGTTATATTGCGGTCCCAGGCTTCCTAAACTGGAACTTTGTGCAATTATTGGCCAGTTCGATGCGTCTGCTGGTAAAGTAATATGATTTGAAAGAATATGACCCAATTTTTTATGGCCCCATGAATCTATATTTTTTAATGAGTGTGTTCCAGGTACTGAGGCAATGAAGAATACATTAATGGCTGAACAATCCGCCATTCGTACCGTAAAAATCCAATTGACTAAAGCTGAATTTTGGTAGTTATTCAAATACTGTATGAGGTCTTTTTTGAAACCTGTCTTAGATTCTCCACTGGCCGTATCAATAGATCCCTTTATTGGAGGTAGATAAGGAGAAATCCAAAGTCTGTATAACATTAAAATGAAATAAGTAATAATAATGAAAAAAAAAAAGGAATATTTATTAACTAATAACAGGATATGTCTATCTACCCTTGAGTTCTATTTTCCCAATCATCCTCATATAAATTTGCTGTAGACATTATAATCCTGATACCACCATCCTGATATTTCAGTATCATCATCTTTGTATGATGACAACCAAACCGTGATGGTGGAGAAACACGTACTAAGGTAATATTATCGCCTAACTTTTCATTGTCCATTCTATCTTGATATACAATCGTTATATCGGCTTTTTGTGCTGCTAATAAATATTGTAAGCAAAGCCATCCAACGTCAACCATGAAATTAATTTGTAGACTTGATTTTATTTCTCCAAGACTGATATCTAATATTTCAGGAAAGGTTACGGTAAGCAGTTCATTACTTGTTTGTGGTGATTTTCTTATTCTTGTAAAAAATATATTATATGGACTTGCACGTTTATATTTATGAATAAATTGTCCAGGCGTTACATCATATATTTGAAAACCCTCACGTTTCATCATTTTGATCGCTTTATTTCGCATTTTTTCTCTCTCCTTGCCATCTTTACTAGACAAATACATATCCATAAGAGAAGTATTATTAGTTGAGCTACTCGCTGTACTTTCAGTATCTGAAATGCATTCTCGAGAGCTACTTGCTTTAACAATACTATCAATGGTATTATTATTATTAACTTTAATTTTTTTGGCCATTTCTTCACTTTCAATATTTCTCTTTTCACCTTTCACAAAAACTTCGAACTTTTCTTTAACCATCGAAGTTAATATTTCAGGTTGTTTTGTTTCATTATTTTCATTCGCAGTCTCTGAAAGTTTTTTTAATTTAATATTCATATCCATTTCATGTTTATTTGTTCTTCTATTGGTCATAACGTTATTAATCTTTGAATTTTCTGAGGTAGAAGAGCTTTTTGTAGTAACTGTTGAAAATAAGTTTATCTTTAATCTTAAGAAACTATCTACATCTCTGTCCCTTTCTCTTCTCAATATAACTTGCATCACCTTTAATTGCTGCAATAGTTGAGTGCGATCACACTCAAAATCAAGATTATTTGGTATTTCGATTGTTTCGTCCAATTGATCGATTACCAATCTTTCCACTAGAAATAAATGATACTTTTCTTATTTAGTTTATATTTATTATTATAATATATATACAGGGTATCTTATAACTGAGGATACAAACAAGAAGGAGTTGATTCTATATAATAAACTTAGTTAAAACTGTAGATTGCATTCACTTGATTAAATTGAACTTAAGGTGGAAACTAACAAATCCTTGTTTGATAAGCATAAAAGTAAAACCGATACAAAAGATATCATTATACTGACACTTTTTGTTAACATATTAAGAAATACAAAATTGCTTTCTGATAAATCCAAAAGTAAGATAGCAAAATTTGTTTAGTTGAAACTGATTCAAGTGTATACATACTTGACAATTATTCACATTTATTATTCTCAAAAATAAAGGTTTATATAAAGAAATGCTAACCTATATTTTCGACGTAATTCTGCTTGCTTGTATCACCAGTTATAAAATACCTTGTGCATTATTAACCTATTGTCATAAAAGTATACTTACAATGTGGATGTGACATTTCTGCAAAATGTATTGGATTTTTTCTGTAACATTTTTCCATAAAAGGACATATTTTTCTATCTATATTATAAACAAAAAAAAATATGTGTAAATTAATTTCTGTACATACATATGTATATGTTCATATATTACCAATTAAATAATATTTATTAAAAATAAAATATTACCGATTAATGATGTTTCATTCGTGGCAGAAATCATGGTTTTTAAAATATATTATATGTGGGTTGCTATTTAAAATAAGGAAGACACTTTCTATGTATCAAAGACAAGACAAACTATGACGTTGTTAAATAAGAATTAATAAATACTAAAAACTAATATAAATAGAGAAATAAAAACAATTATTGATCAATTTTTTGTTACAATTTGAAATAATTTGATGAGACTGATAGAATTAGAATAGTTCGCAAATGACAGTAAGAAAAGTTGGTAACATTGTAATAGTGAAAATAATCTAGTATTATTTCTCTAACTAACGAAATTATGCGATTCGTCGATTTTATTCATTTAACCAATAGCATTCCTCGGCGTTGATATTTCGTTCGCATTGCAAACGTAGTTTTGTCCATTATCGACGTATTGCCAACATTGCTTTTAACGTTTAAGGATAAATAATCTTTTACTTTTCTTTTTTTACAATATTATTTAACAATAATAAATATTGATTTATTTAAATATATTTCATGAAATAATTTAGCATCAAGTTATAATACAAACATAATCACAATTAGTTAGATTTATAAAATTCAAGAAATTCATATTTTGCCGCGCGTAGAAGAGGGCGTTCGGATCGTGACAGAGAAAGTAAAAGTAAATCCCCTTTGAAACAAACCCGCTAATCTATTACGATGTGTATAATCAAACAACTTTCTCAATTCCTTCGGTCTTTCTGTGTACGTTTAGATGTGTACGATTTTCTTCATTGTTTATTTATTCAACTTCTAGATATTTTATAGTTTCGTGGTCTGTTATCTCTTAAGTACAGATTTATGGTTACCACAGTCGACATAACATCGTGTGTATGAAATATTTCGTTTTTTAGTATATTCTTATAGATAATAACTTGTACGTGATAAATAACAAATGGTAAGTAAGAATTAATTACTATAGTGAATGTTAGTACTTTTAATAAGATATCTTTTATTTTAAACAATAGTTTTAATTTTAGTTTTTACAAGATGTACGTATTTGTGTGAGCAATTTTTCACATGATTATATCCTTCGATATATTTCATTATTTTCAGTTATTATATAAATGTTTATTTGTTTTTAGATGTATCGAAAGGAAGATGAAAATACATCGGAGCTACTTATGGGTATGTGTCGTTCAAATTAATCATCGAATCAAGTGAATATTGCAGTTATGGTTGCATTTTAATTGATATACGTATATATACATGGGTACTGATGAAAAGTTTGGAACCTAACGTAGAAACAATTTTTTCTAGATTAAACTTTTTCTTTTTTATTGAAAAAAGAAGAAAGAAAAACTCTTTTTATTAAGGTTCAAAACTTTTCAACTCAATTCTCGTATTTATAATCTTTTATTTATTTCTATTCATTTCCGTCTAGGATTAATTAAAAGAAGAAAAATGAGAACAAGAAAAACAGTTAAACGTTTCGATTAAATCGCTTGTGTGAAGAAAGAAAAGGAAGAACCGATTGAAATTAAATGACACGGATGAACCACTAAACAAAAGTATGAAGACGATTTTTATTCAAAAGTAGTCTAATTAGAATTTTATTGAGATTATTTCTTATTTTCATTTTATAAATGTGCTTTTCGAGATGCATCGTGGAAGAATTATTATTGTCCTTTTTTTTTTTTAACAAAGTTAAAAAACGTATTTCGTTCTGCGAAAGTTCAAGCATTGTCAAATAATTAAACAAAAAAACAAAAAAAAAAGAAAAGTAATTTTGTTTTCAATACTTTTTTTTACAAATTTCATTTCCTTCAAATAATAACGAAATTTTTATTTTATAAAAGAACATGTATTATATATAATTATATACGATTAATATATATTTAATTGTTTTTTTACGTTTATTCGTATGATTTACAAAAAAAAAAGACGATCTACGAAGATCAATCGGAAAACTTCGAGTCTATTCTTTTGTCTAAAATTTTTTTATTCTTACATTAGGCTCCAAATTTTTGCATTTTACCCACGTATTCAACAAAAATTCTAACTGAATTAACAACGATTACGTTACTCCATACAAAATTTTAAATATGTTAGTCTATCGTTCATATAATATTCTATATTCATAAGTTCACATATGATTTTTGTTTAAAAAATATAAATAGATAACTTATTGGCCAAGTTTATAAAAGTGGATTGAAAAGTTTGGACTCTCAATAAAAAACAATAGCGAAACTTTTATTATTATCGATACAATATAAAACATAATACATTTTATCGTATAGAATAAAAATAAATGAATAAATCAAAGTAAATATGAGATCGAAAAATAATAATTACATGTTATTTTTTACGCTAGATTCGAAACTTGTCGAAATATTAACTTGTATGTGTAATTTATATTTGTTTCTCGATATCATCGGCTAAAATCTTTGCAATTAAAACGAACGTATCCAAGTTAGATTCGGGATTACAATTGTTTCAAATATGTATATAGAGAGAGAGAAAGAGAAAGAGAGAAAGAAGAAAACATAAAAATAAAAAGATAGGTAGATAGATAGATAAAAAAAAAAAAAGAAAACAAATAGGAAGAATGAGATAGATAGGATAGATAGGTGGATAGATAGATAGAACAAAAAAAAAAGAGTAAATATAGAAACGATAAAAGGCGTAGAGAGGGCCAGTATGATTCTGGAAGGTGGTAGGAGATAAGCGTTGGAGAGCAGAGGGGAAGGGGGTAGTAGCGATGCTGAGCGTCGAGACGCCTACATTCGCCTCAGTTACCGCCCAGACTGTGCCGCAAGCGATTCGCGTCCTTTCGTTTGCTCCTCCTTTCTCTCGTTTTCACGTTCACCCTTTTTCCTATATACATACACATATATATATATATACGTGTATTACACATATTATGTACATATCCATAAATATATCTATATAAAGTTCATTGTGAATTGTTGTAAACAAAAAATTCGTATTAGTCTTCGACAAAAAGAGAAAAGAGATTGAGAGAGAGAGAGAGAGAGAGAGAGAGGGAGAGAAAGAAAACGAACAAGATCAAGAAGAAAATAAGCGGAACTTGAAAAGTTTTTGCGAATGCACTCACATAATTTCACTTCTTCTTCTTCTTCTTCTTCTTCCACCTCTTGTTCTACGTATTATTCGTCGGTGAACTTGCAAAAGTTAGTTTTATTCGACTTGGATTCGAATGATTTTTCATTAATAATTAAATCGTGATAGTTGACGTACATCGACATTGTCGTGTTGTTAATTTTATTATTGCTGCTGTTGCTGTTGCTGTTTGGCGTGTTTGTTAATAAGATATTAAAACAATCGGTGCACGAAGTGATCTTTTTTATCGAGCAAAGTATAGGACGGGGGTGTGCGAAAGGGTAGTTTACGAAGTGGCACCGAGGTGGAGATTCCTCGAACGAAAGCAGTGGCCAGCGGTTTCCTCTGGAGGCGCTCAGAAAACAGTCAAGATCCATTGCCGCTCGGAGATGTCGGAGAGTCAAGGTCAGTCAACGATCTCTAACATCGATCATAAATCTGATCGAGGTTCGATCATAATTCTAATCTTAACACGTGATTCTTATTTTTGTTTTGTTTTTTGTTTTTTTGTTTTTCATTTCTCTTTACTTTCTCTTTTTATGTTTTTATTTTTGTTGTTATTGTTAATAAATTTATAAAACGACAGTAATAATAATAATAATAATAACTGTAATGTTGCATGAAGCAGCTAAACTTCGTGAGTAATATTGCCGTAAAAACTTATTTTAAAGATATCTACTTTGTTTTTTCTTTTTCATTTTTGTTTTTTAACTTTTATTTGAGCTTCTTTATTGATAAGTCAGAAAAAGGAAAACTTTAGAATTTATTCGAATGGAGAAGTTGAAGAAATAGGAGAGAGAGAGAGAGAGAGTGAGAGAAGTGCGGTGAAAGAAGTTTAACTTCTTAAAAACAAAGTTAAAAATTACGAGGAAACTCTGCGTAGTGGAAAGTAATGTCGGGGGCGGATCATATTCTTTTCCACGTGACGAGGGTAAACGGGTGGTGGTAGTGGTGGTGGTGGTGGTGGTGATGATGGAGGTAGTAGTGGGGTTGTGTTGTTTTGCTAGCATTGATGGTGTTAGCAGTTGTGTGGTATAAGATTTTCGCGGGAGACTAATTCATCGAATTCCCTAATAATATTATTTTCAAATTATTTGTTTCTTATTTTCTTTTTGGATTCTTCTATTTCCTCTCTCTCTCTCTTTCTCTCTCTCTCTCTTTCTTTCTTTATTTATGATTTTGTTTTTATTTTATACGTACGTTTCATAGTATTCCCTGGTTTACACGTTGAGATATACACGACGAATTATACATCTACCCAGTGGCAATTTGTACGAGAATGACGAGTGACGGATAGTGGGGGTTTTATTTTTGTTTTTTGTTTTTTGAAAATTCAATTTCCATGTATCAAGGTAACAACTTTGTCCAACGACAAAGCTTTTGACTTTCTTCTCTTTATTAGTATTTTTGTTGTTGTAACATCGCTTATCACAATCTTCGTTTATTACGGTGTCACGAATATGAGAAATATTTATGTAAAATATTTATGTTTTTTTTTTTTCATGTATATGTGTATAAATCTACGTATATTAAAATGAATACATTTACGGTTATACTTCCCGAGAGAGAACACATATAGAAGTTATTTTATTAAATTCTAGTGTTTCTCTAAGTGTGTGTAAGTATATTTACATGTATTATATGAGTCACAGAAGTATTCCGTATTCACTTTTACTGTCAATTTGAAATAATGGATATTTGCATGTAATGCAAAGCTTATTCAATAGTCTTATACATAAAACAAATGTATTTTATTATTTAACTATCAGATTAATATTATATATTAATGCAATATATTATTTTAATCAATTCATCGCATTATATTTTTGTTTAATTTAAGTTTGTAAGAATTTAAGGTGTAGATTGGCGCATTATAGCGGAATTTTTCTACGGTTGCGTTAATACGTAATTATCATGTTTAATTATAATATTATAATAATAATAATATATATAACAAATCAATCTATTCTTGTAATATACATTTTTACGCGAAATTATTTTGAAAAATACGTTTAATATTACTCAGAAATCTTTCATTGTTTACAAATGTATTAGAAGGATATATATATATATATATGAAGATGGATGCGTTATTTCGAAAATAATATCTCCCTTTTTCGTGAGAGAGAATATAAGCCAACCATCATAGTAATCTGTATGTTTTTTCGAAGAAGATTCGAGATTGGTCGTGCACACAGTTTCACTTCCGAAAATGCGAACCAATTTTTCTCCCTTTAGCTACACACGTTATTTTCTATTTTTCTTCGTAAGATCGAAAGTCGGATCTTGTTACGCGAAGAGTTTTCCTATAGTCGTTGGTTCAAATTTGTAAGAAAAAGAAAAATAAAAAGAAAAAGAAGTAGAAGTAGAAGTAGAAGTAGAAAAAGAAAAATTGTTCGTTGGATGAAAGAAGGAAAGGGTTAACTGCAGAGAGTAATTTTCTTTTTCACGTGACATACGTCAAAATAATTGTAATCAAGTTGCATAAGTGTTAATTTTATTTTAAGTGTTTATATATTTACACAAGTTTATTTTGCGATGAAAAAAAGTCAAGAAATAATATAAGTTTAAAGAATGTTAGTTGATAATTAGGGATTGAATTGTTTCGACGTTTTTTTTTTAACGAGAATTTCGAAGATGGAGTGGTAAGTTTTAATGTTAAAATAAGTTCAAAAGAAATAGAACAAGAGTTTTAGTATTATAACGTACGTTTACTGTTACCAGTGAGAAGAAGTTCTTTTCGGTGATCGAGATTAATTGAATGTTCGTAATAAAGAAGAAGAAGAAGAAGAAGAAGTTAGAAAATGAAGAAATAGGTGTGTTGTAATTAAGAATGAAGGTCAATATGATTGAAATAAACTCTACTGGTATATCATCGATATGTGTCAATGTAAGAACGTGCTGTGTGAGAAGAATTCTATAATAGTTGGTTAATAAATCTACAGGATGATCCAATAATTACAATACAATTTACAGAAACTCTTAATTTTGTTTATGAACAAAACAAACATTGAAAAATTAATGTTTCAAATATATATATAAATAAATATATTTAAATATTAATATTAATTAATTTATTTAATAATAGGTATAAATAAATTATTAAAAAAGATAATATTTCATAATTATATTAAGACAAATCAAAATTGCAAATATCAATCGATTATATAAATTTAACTCAATAGAAATTATTTTACAAATTATTATTATTATCATTTTTTTCTAATTCTGATTATTGTAACACATCTCCCATAGATGATAATATATAGTTTACAAAAGAGAGAACGAGAGAAGAGATATAAACGAGATAATATTCTAATGGGTTACAAATTTTTAATATCACGGAATCTCGTGATACATATATACACGACCATCGTTTGTTGGTTGGCAGCAAATTACTCGTAAATTCTCTCTCATACATTTTTTTTTTTACGCGTAACAACGTAACATCTACGACATATATTTTTTTTTTTTTCCCATTCATTGCCCATGCAATCATGTGCGATACAATTAACAATAATCTAAATCTAATCTAAAAGAAACGCGAATAACGTTATTTCTCGTTGCATTAAAAAAAAAAAAAAAAAACAAATGATAATTAAAACGAAAAGAGTTCAAGTTGTTACTTATGATAGAAAGGGGAAGTAAAAAGGGAGGGGGAGGAGGAGGGGGGGGGGAGGAGGAAAAGAATAAATTGATCGAATTTTGAACGTGCATTATGTTATGCTAGTTAAGTTCGTGACGTTGCAAGTAAACCGTTCGCTTAAAAAGAATTTCTTTTTGCTCGGTTAGATAAGAATATCAGATAGTAAGTTCCGCGGTACGTATACGTGAAGAAGAAGAAGAAGAAGAAGAAGAAGAGAAATAAAGGTAAAAAAGAGAGAGGGGTAGGGCACAGGGGAAGGAGGAAGGAGGAAGGAGATAGAGGGTAGTATTGAAAGGGGACGGAAATGGTTGGCACTTGCTTGTTACGGACATGAAATACATGTAATAGAACCTCCACCGGTTTTCTTTCGCGCAGAACTACTAGAAAACGAATAAGGAGAAAAAGGTGGAGTAGAGTAAGAGAGGTCGAATAGAGTGAGGAGAGAGAGGGTCGTTTTGTGTAAAAGTTTGAAAAATACACTTCGTTTCAAACGTAACTTTTTTCTATGTTTTTTTTTTTTGTCTTCTTCTTCTTCTTATTGTTTTTTGTGTGTGTGTGTGTATAAAACTATACTTTTTTTTTTCCATTCATTTATTAAAATAGGGAGAAAATTGAAAATGCGATCAACGATAATCATCGATCAATACATATGTAATATATATGTATTTTCTCTAATTAATATTATAATTGTGATTGGAATTGTTTATTATTTGATTTGTATTTTTTTTTTTTTTTTTTTATACTACAATTTAAGGATTTATATTTTTGTTTCTATAAATTGTGATTAGGAAAGTATTATTTTTATTATTAATATATATATATGTATAAGGGTGGGTCGAAAAAATCAATTATTGTTTTTTTTACAAGTGACACGGAAAAATGGATTGCTAGATACCTTAAAAAATGCTCACACTATATATATTGTTTATTCTATAAACAATTTAAATGATCATATATATAATATTATAATATATTTTATCTCCTTTTCGTCTATCATAGATATTTTAAATTATTATGATTAAAACTATATATAATATTTATTTTTTCAAATGTAATTTTAATTAGTATAATAATTTGTCTTTTGAATATACTATAATTAAATGTTTTCAGTGTTGTCTTTTCTTTTTCATTTAGTAGAGATTCGAAATATACATTTCGTGTTGTCCTTACTGTCGTCGAACAAAACGATCAAGAAAATCTAATTATTATTCTTGGCGCGTCTACCGTAAATTTTGCGCTCGTTTATAATCCACAAACCACTCCCACTTTTTCTGCTTATTGTACTCTCTCTCTCTCTCTCTCTCTCTCGTCTGATCTCGTCTCGTCTCGTCTCACGTTTAATCGTTTAAACGATTTTTAAGCATCAACGATAGAAGTGAAGCACACACAACACACACACACACACACAGATAGTATCAATGTGTATCGTAATTACGTGGCAAGCGTTTAATTGATCGCGTCGTAACGTTGACACGACGACACGTACATTCATTTCAATGATATTTATTCGAAAATATTGATTTATAATATTACATTATATATCACAGATTATTTATAATATAATATATTCCTTTTTATTACATTTTTTTTTTTGGGACTAAAATATCATCATCATCATCATCATCATCATCATCATTGTCATCATCTCCTCTTTTTTATTTATTTCTTTTTTCCTAAATAAATCGTCGTAATATAATTTCTAGTCTCACGAGTACTTGCAGCATGACAACAAACAGTACAACTCTTATCATGAACATAG